TAACTATTCGACAGTTAAACAGAAATTTAACCACACGACAGTAACATAGAAATGTAACCACGCAACAGTAAAACAGAGATGTAACCACACAACAGTAATACATATATGTAACAACACTAGTAAACCAAAGATATAGCGATACAACAATAAACAACACGGAGTATTACCACAGAAAAAGAAACTTTATCAAAAGCTTATAATAAAAACTCTTTTTCATTTTTTTTGATATTGATATATATATAACTATGAATAAATATATCGATATATTTTGATACTTTTTTTTATAGTTCTCTTCCCTCAAGAGTTTATTATTGCCATTCTAAAAATCCCCATTTCCAATTGAATATTGAATAAGAGTTCTTAAGTAAAATGATTGTGACAAAAGATATTAACAGATATTGCAAAATAACAATTGTTGGTTGTCTTTCAGTAATCCTTGTTTTTTATGTTTCATTTTTAAAAATGTCAGAAATTAATTGACTTTAAACGAATTGATGAAATCTCTTTCAAACGTGACGCTCATATTGTATTGTCCATTGATGGACCTTGCAAATAGTATCGCTGTCTCATTGGGCTTACAATTGAAATGAAAATATAATCAAAACTGTTTTTATCACCATAAAAACACTAGATGTACGAAGAAGGAAGCACCTGTTAAACAATATTAATGAAAACTAACTAAAATAAAATACAGGTTAAAAGATCTTCGATACTCTCTATATCTGAAAATCCTTTTTTTTTTGTATGTTCTTTCCTATCATTGGTTGAACAAAATGGGTTTCAGACATGTTTCTAATAAATTTCACTTTTATTAGAAATTACCGATTTGTTATTACTTAATAAATAATGTTGATTAACATAATGTGTGTTAAGTAATCATACAACCTCCTGTTCTTAATATAAAAAAATCATTGACACCGGAAGTATGAATCCTAACAGTTGACGTCAGAATATCAATTATGTTATTTATATTGCTGAAATAGTACTTTCCAAAACATACAACCTCTTAATATAAAAAATGGACACCAGAAGTATGTTTTCTTATCATTGACCCTGAATGTGAATCCTGACCGTTAGAAGCATCAATTCGGTTATGTGTATTGCTAAAATGGGGATTTTCAATTCATACAACATCATGTTCTTCAAATAAAAAAATAAACACCGGAAGAATGTATTATTATGATGATTGACGCCTGAAGAATCAGAGTAATTGACGATGTATGTATATGCTACTTAAATAATATTTTCGATATTGAACGACCTCCTGTGAACACGAAGTTTGGCACCGGAAGTATGAATCCCTACTATGCACGCAAAAAGAATCCATAAAGTTCAATAAATATTGCTTAAAATGTAATTTTCCCGGTCCTACAACATACTATTTTAACATAAAAAAAACAACAATTGTCACCGGAAATAATTACACTCCTTACCTTTGACGCCGAAATAATCTATTGTGCTCTACATATTGCTAAAAATGATATTTGATGACTCCAACAACATCCTGTTGTAACATGAGGAACAAAGAAAACAAAACAGGCAATGATACCGGGAGTAACGATTACGTATAGTTACTTTATTAAACTATATAAATCATGAATACATGCTTGAATTTAGTATGTTGTATTGTTAGAGGAATGTAAATAGTTTTACAATGGTGTTGTCCGATCCTTTTCAAAAACATCATCATTAACATATATATTGCTTAAATGATATTTCCTCAACACTACAACGTCCTGATATTACATAATTTGAATTATGCATGTATTACAATACCTTCCCGTTTCTAATTCTTTACTAAATAAACAATACTAAAATAACAGTATTAGTTAAGTCTTGTCCTTAAGGATGTACACCTCTGAGAAGTCAAAAATTTCCTGTATTAAACTTTTTTTCTTATATTGATTTTTGGAAAAAGGAGTATAATGGCATAGTAGAAAATGCAAAAAAATAAATATGTCGGTGTGTTCGTTTTTGTGCTATGGTCGCTCAAAGATACCAATTTAACACAGCATGTGATTTTAGGTGATTTTGGGGTTTTTGACCATTTGCAGAACAAATTCATACAATTTCGTTCAAGTGTGTTATCAGATATGAATGAATGTTTGTAGAATTGATAAAAATATTATTTTCTTTTAAATTATGGAAGTAAAATTTCTTAATCTTATTCTTTGAACTCAGAAAGTCGATTTTAGTTACCCCTACCCCCTATTTTTTAATGAAAAAATACTCATTTTTTGCAGATTAAACGATTGATAAAAAAAGTTCTGGTATTAAACTTTTTTTTAATATTTAAATATTAAAAGAAAATGTGTTTCTCTTTCTAAAACATCCATAAAAATGGGGGGTCGGTGTGCTTCTTTTTTTGTCCCATTATCATTTGTGTTATTTTTTACCTTTTTCGGGGTCAAAAATCATAAGTGCTTCACTTACATGAAATATGTAAAAAAAAAATATCAATAATGTATAATTTTCCAGTTTGTTGCATATTATTTTTATCATATTAAACATTATAAAGTTGTACAGCAAAATTGAGCCTTCAACGTGATTGAAATCTCAGAAGAGTACATCCTTAAGAGTTTTTTCTTTTTTTACTTTTCTTGAGTGAGCTGCTCTACTCTTACGTCAATAAGATTCATCAGTTTGGAAATATGTGTAATCATCTATATACTACTCTATACCACCTACCGGAAGCATGATAAATTAATTATCATTGATTCTCAGTATGAGAAGGAGTTGAGAGCGACTTGAGAACAACTTGTTAAGAACTTGAGAACGGATGTTCCCATTCCCCAGCACTTGGGAACGTATTTTCTCAACAAAGAACGTCTGCTCGCACCAGATGACGTACGAAACCGGATATAGGGTCCACACAAAAGGGATCCGCGTAAGAAAATAGTCCGTCATAACCATATCAATACAAAGTTACAGGAAAATATTGTGATAATAGCAACACCATTTCAGGTGTGAATGTGCACATGAAAAAGCCAATGACGATAGGATTGTTTTAGAAATATTTATTCTACGTTGTTTTAAGGTTCATTGTATTCCTCCGCGCAAAACTTCTATTTGTTTACGTTTGTCACAGGCGATCGTTGACCATTGAGCTTTGAAGTCATTTGGAAAACACGGTATTTAGTTTGTAAAAGGAGAAATATATAAGGTAGTAGTATATAGATGATAAATAGTTTATCATACAGTATTTTCAGTGTTTGTCGTTGGAATAATTTTCTCATTGCTCTCACTTAGATAACATCTTGGACCAATTTGTTTTGAGACGTTGCGAAACGTTCTTCCATCTTAATTTCTAAAAAATATCGATTCCAAATAATCTTTATCTCTATAAATAAATAAATATATATATGTGCTTGTAATTTGTGTTTCAATTTGACTTGAAACGATGGGACACGTTTCCAACGTAAATTTCCCAAATAAGCTATCCCCAATAAATGTTTACATCATAGTATAACGAACCTACGTAATTTATATATGTGTACATTCAATGGACCATTGGTATTTATTTCAAAATCTGAAAACAGACTTTGCCTGCATTCAATGTAAGCCCTTCTTACCTGTTTTGTTACATAAGTTCCTAGTTAAATTTATACCTAACCTCTGCTGTTTTCTGAGCTTATACTTCAAGTCTCCAATCATAGTGAATGATTGAAGATAACATTGATTGATTTGCTTTTCTTGATAATACAATTATCACGAAAATATTATTTGTACAAGTATCGTGATTTTTGACTGACGTGGATGTATTTTAATGATATTTTTTATGAATAATTTTATCATGACTTTTTGTAAGCTTGATTTAAAATGATCGGAAACGTTTTCTTCGGTCTGCTGGTTCAAACATGATGGGATAAACAATCGATCCTTATTCCATTTGTTTTTGTTGTTTCACTAAATACATATGTATATTTATTACAACAGATGAACAAAAACCCTTATTGCTAGAATCAAGAAGTACCATAACACAATAAGGCACATTCATGTTTCTACATGTAATAAATTTCACTTTTATTAGAAATTGCCGTTTATTTTTAAACTTGATACATCACAAAGGTGAACGTAAAACGTGTTGGTATTTTTTTTTAAATAATATGACATGTTGACAGTTCGTTTGTCAAAAGATACATCGGCAGTGAACATTTTACATGTAATAAAACCATTTTTGGTTTTATGCGCTGGGTTTTTTTTCTTTCTTTTTTTCTTTCTTGTAGTTATTTGTGGACCTATAATACATTGTTAGCGTTCTATAACAGAAAATGAAGTATTTCAGGAGAGTGACGATTGGGTTATCATTGCTTTCTTTTACTGTTACAAACATTAAATTTAAAAATGCAGACAACATTAATAAACTCGTAAAATATAGAGTTTGCGAAAGAAAGCATGATTGTTGGTTAATACATAGAGAGTACATATGGTTTTGATTTTGATTTAACATTATGTTTTTGTTTGTTTTTGTATTATACTATCTACGCGTTAAGATTTAGACAAAAGACAGTATATAAGGTATCATTGTCTAACTTCTCGGGTATGGCAAAATATTGCAGTTAAACATTTTAACGAGTTTGATTGTTTTGACCATTAAGGAAGATCAAAGTCTCGAAATTTCGTCAAAGAAACACTAGCTTTCATGACCAACCAACCGGAAAATAATCGAGACTTACCTGAATGGACAAAATATCAGCAAAATATTCACTTTGTTTGGGTTTTGGCATCTAAATATGCAATGTTTGCAACTGTTCACATAATTTCTCTTATTTCTGGTTGGTGATTATACACGAAAACAATAATTTGTTGATGAAAAGTTGCAATAAATAAGTTAAGGAATATGGGAAGATATTAATACGATTTGAAATATGTTTCATTATAAATTCATTCTCTCATGTATATGTATCAATTTTGAAAGGAAACTTTTTGCTAAGTAGGTTATTTTTCATTGATTATATCAAACCAATTAGATGACGTAAGTATAAATCTCTGTTTTGAAGGTGATAATGGGCGGAGGGAGATGGTATTTTAAGCCGAACAATACCGTTGACCCAGAAAACAGAAACATGTCGGAACATGGCCGCCAAGACGGACGAGACCTGGTTAAGGTATGAACCATTATACAATATATTTCACGACTGAAAGGCAAATTCTGGTGCAAAATTTGAAATTATATATTGAAGTTATTTTGTTTTAAAATCAACAGCTAATCGAAGACCTTTACACATTTTAATCAGGCATAGGCAAAAACTCCCCAAATCAAGCTCTAGATTAAACATTCTTTCAAAACCATTCGTCCTCATCAATATCCACATGTAGGTTTTTATATAGAATTGTTTATTGTTAGGTTAGGGTTTATTTTAACATCCTCTCAACATCTTACGTCATATAAATACAGATACATGTACCTTGGGAGACAAAGCCGAAAGGAAAGACAATTTAAGGTAGAAAGGTATAAGAAAATATCCCAAGCGTTGCAAAGAGGACAACCGACCAGTTTATATAGTTTCCTCTCTTTATTGGTAAAGAACTCCCCCTGTCTCCTTTGAGTCACTCATTAGTCGCCTCGAAAGATATCATGCGATGTTATACATTAGGTCTTTTCGTTTTCCGATTCTTAACTAAGTTGGAAGATCTAGAAGATCATTTTCGTAACTCGCAAGAATCATACGACAAAGTGAAACATAATCTGGGTATTACAATTGAAATTTTAATAGCTAAGCATAGGAAAAGGCATCTAGCTTGAACACGGAATCAGATTTTGAGAATAAACCATACAGTTAATGCATATGTAACCTCACCTCAGTTAACCTTCTAAAATATTTCAAGCCAAGTTTAAGTTGAACATCTTAATGAGATATCTCATATCAAATTTCTCTTATGACAAACTCAATCGCTCTATTCCGTCTTTGCGTATTGCAGAGGTATCTTCTCTTGTGAGCAGGTATTGATTGTTAAGTCATTGGTTTGTGAGGGTAACGTCATCAAATTTTGAGAAAACGACGCAATTTTCTCACACAAACCAATGACGCAACAATCAATCCCTGCTCACAAGAGAAGATAACTCTGCAATACGCAAAGACGGTATAAGATCGACAGAAGCAATATCAAATCCTTGAATATATTTCATTTGTGAGATCTCCCGGCATGCAACAGTCCCATTCCATATTGTATGCAATTTCCCTGAACCCCACAGACGTTTAGAATCCTGATATTTCTGTTGTTTATATAGGTTGCACAGATACCAGGCGTTTATTTATTTGTGCTGTTGCACTCGTTTGAAAGAAATAAAACAAGAACTCCAGATAACGTTGAAGCTTATTATTAAGTTCAAGTAGTGTACAGTGCCTCCGGAGAGGGCTTGTTCCAATACACGACCTCCAGAGAGGTCTCCTTTCCCACAAAACCTCCGGAGAGGATAAAGTTCTTTTAGCAGAAAACCTCCGGAGAGGGTGAAAAACTGTAACAAAACAAAATATGTCTCAATTCTACAGAAATAATAGATTACACTCATAATTCTGAAAATGTAAACTACTTCATTTACCGGGGTGCTCCTTAACTAGGAGAAAATCACACATGTAGTGTTTATGAAATGTCAGTGGCAATAGAATGCAATAAATTGACTATACTAAATGTTATAGTGTTAATAATAATGTTAATAGCCGACTAGGCGAAAATATTTAAGTTGGCAGAAATGGTAAGAAATATGTTAAGTTCAAACCACGCGGTTCAGCGGGGAAAATTGTGATTCCCGATTCGACACAATAAAAAGTTATTTAAAGTTCATTATCCGTCTCAAGACGTTATCGGGGAATTGTCTTCATCAATACGAGTCATTGGGACACACTTACCCGATGGGGGGCAGTGGTAACTTGCAGTAAAATGATAAAATTCTGTGTTCGTCCGTGGGACAACGTCATGTTTTTCTTCGTTACAAAGTGAAAGTACATAAGAATTACCGGAAAGGGCGACAACTCGGTCCGGCGTTAGAGATAGCGCAGTGTCTGGTACACAGAACGCGGCGGTAGCAGCACATTATTTGATTGAAAAAAACCGTTAAGATTTATAAAGTATTCGTTCGTTTTTGTCCTATTTCTAGTGACTATTTTAGGAAAAAAGGTGGTTGAATCTGTTTGTCGACTGTCTGCTCCAGAAGTTGGCTGTAACATTGAAGCTGAATATTTTCCCCTGCCAGTGTTTATATGAAATACTAGTTAGGTATAACTCAGCTATAGCAGCCAAATGTGGTTACTTTGTAAGGGGTTATATCGGCACCTTTACCCGTTCGCTGTATTATACATAGGTATCGGAAATCATCAGATAGGGATAAATCATTTGTTTTACCTTCAATACGCTCGATGAGTCCAGCGTGAATGTTGAATGGTCATACTGTGCAATCAAATCTACAAACAAACTTCTTCAAACAGGTGCTACATGTACCTTCTTTCGTATTTGTGGTAATCTATTTACAGGAATGGATGAAGGACAAAGAGCAGAGAAATCTATCACATCGCTATGTGTGGAATGCTACTGAATTTGACACTGTAGACCCAACACAAACGGAATATCTCCTAGGTAAGAAATCTGTCTTATCTTACTTTTGCTCTCCAAGTATTTAAGAATCGTAACTTTTAGCTATTTCATTTCGTCTCTTATTGATAAGGCTGCATTTTGGTCATTTAAAGAAGATTGGGTGATAAGATAAGTCAACGAACTCAATCATAGAAATTATGTGATGTTTCACGTGATTTCATAATATGGAAATAGAGAAATCGACTAAAATCACGATGCAGTATCATAGAACTAGAGAAAAAATTGCTAGATATGTAAATATCCATGAAACACAAACGTTAACGTGACAATGGAATCGAGGTGTATCTTTATAGATATGTATATCGCTTGGGGATGTTGCATGAGGCGACCAATGTGTGACCCTTGTATAATCGAGATTTTCTTCTAACCCCTTTACTTAGAGGGTTCGTGAAGCGAAGCTAATATGCTGCCCCTATTTCAAAGTATGAGACACTTATTTTTTTATTTTTTTATTTTACATCTGCCCACACTTTTCTTTCCTGCGGTGTATCATCACAGACAATAAAAAGTAGCACTGTGCCAGTGGTGATGTAACATACATGTCAACACTTTTCCTGGTGTAGCAAACATGTCAGGCTGGTTGATAAATCAACCAATCAGATATCTATGCTCAATTGGCATCTTTCAAATCATACTCATTATTTTTCATGTCATTTCTGCGGAAAGAATATATATATACATGTAACAATTTATCAATGTTCGGTTGATAATAAAATAAGAAAACATTATTCTCTGGTAGACCTAGAAAAAACCACGAAAATAAGATCATTTTATATATCTACTTATATAAATATTTTATGTAAATTCAGGTCTGTTCGATGCCAGCCATATGCAATACGAACTTGACAGAAAGGATCCGAAGTACGAAGTCGCTGGGGAACCTTCCATTGCCGAGATGACAAAGAAGGCCATCCAAGTACTGCAAAGGAACCACGACAAAGGCTTTTTCTTGCTAGTGGAAGGTACAAGATGAAAAACTATTAAAATCATTCTCGTTTACGGTATCAGATATTCTTTTCAGTGAAGATTTCAAGCTTTAATAATGACTTTATTTTTCGTCATATCATATTACCTTTGACACGTTGCGTGTATTTTGCACAGGTTTTTGAGTTTCAAATTATGGTTTTGTTGACAATTGCTGGGTGATGTCATACATTCAAGGCAGCACAAACTAATACTTGTTTTCAGTGATTAATATTGTAAATTGACAAACTGCGTCAGTTAAAGAGACATTTCTATAAACATCTTAAAGAAATAAGAAACATTCAATATCGGGGTTTTTTTTCTACCCGAGAAGGACGTTTATTAATGGATCTGTATTTAAATTCCATATGCCACCTTTAATTAGTACTTACGCCGAGGGTCTATCGTTAAAATAAATGTATGGGTCAAAGAAGTAATATAGACGGTAAAATCCCATATAACACTGGATCCAGTTAAAATAAATGTATATACGTGTATATGCGTTGCCACAACAATGTTATACTTGATCGAATATTGTCGCTTTATGATATTAATATGATGTACATGACATCATATAGAGACAAAATCTAAACAGGTGCTTCTATTTCTATAAAATAATAATAAAACGAAGATAGTTCCAAAAATATTGTAGATAATTAAAAAGATCAAACACCAATTTTGATGGAAATTAATTATAGAAGAAATATAAAAAAAAACATATGCAATCAAGCACGCTTGTTTATTCCAGGTGGGCGAATTGACCTCGCCCACCACGCAAACGAGCCGGAGAGAGCTCTCCACGACGTGCTGGCAATGGAGAAGGCGGTAGAGACAGCGATGAGCCTGACAAGCAAGGATGACACATTGATTGTGGTTACCGCTGACCACTCTCACACATTCGTACTGTCCGGTTATCCGTCGCGTGGCAATCCCATTCTCGGTAAGTAGCCCGACAAACGAGGCTGAATTACACTCGGTAATAAAAGAAGAAAGCACGACGGAACTCTGTACTCGTTCAATAGGACAGAATAAACAAGGCAACCTCGAGCTCGTTCTCGATAAGAAGCGAAGAATGAACGATTCAATCCCTTACTCGATAAAAACTGCAGACAATACTAAATAATTACATACTCTTTAACTAATAATTATCTTTCTTCCCACAGTCGGATTTGATCATTTTTAATATCAAAGCAACAATGTAGATAACGAGAGATAACGATTCACGGTTTTATGAGTTCTACTGAAGGGAGCTAACTCTTAGTTAACGGTTCACTGTCACGTGAAAATACATCATGAGTACTCGTATATAATGTTAACCAACGTTTTGCCTCATGTCATGTTAGTATGTTACCAGCACTTTTATATTAATTTTAACACCTTTGTGCCTTTGTACTTTGAAATTACCTTTCAATGGACCAATCATATGTAAAAAAATTGTCGTCATATGAGCTCAATTTAATGCTAGATTTAATTAAAACTCACACCAATCATCTAATAAAAAAACATATGCGAAGGAGGACAATTATATTGATTGTTAAGTTTGGAGTCGAACCACGAACCTCTAGTTAACTAGTCTGAGCTGAAGAGAAACCTCTTGAGTTAAGAACTCGTCCAATATTTCCACGGGTAACGGTGATACTTGCCAAGCAAGCATGATTATTTCTTTTCAATGATTCCCGTTTCCCAATTTGGGCACAAAGTTACTTTTCTTTTTGTTTTCAACGCCTTCGTTAGGGACCAAACTCAGAACCGCTGGCTAACTTATTCTACATAATACCGAATGATCTAAATGTCCTTCAAAATTGGAAGCAGCTAACATTTAACCCCAAAATTGCTCTCTAAGGAACCATATAACATGCTTCATGATTGGTGCTGACAGACTTAAATAAACATTATAATTTATTTGAAGAGTGATGTTAACAATGCATTTCTCAGGTCTGGTCGATGATGTGGATGGTAATATCTTGATGGCAGAAGACGGGAAACCCTACACCACTCTGCAGTACACAAACGGACCCGGCGCGATAGAGATGGAGGCTCTGCTGCACCACGGAACATACAAAGGAAGAGCCAATCTGACCTCCATCGACACGGGTGAGTCCTTATCTGTAGCACCATGATGTACAGATCTCAGTGATACCAAGGTCCGAGAGTTTAAAGTGACAAATCTGGCAAAATACAAATGTTCCCGATATATAATTTAATGTAACAGAATGGAGTTTGTTGTGCATATAACGAATTTATCAATGAGTATTTCCATATCGTTTCACTAGTCAATCAGGCTTAAGTGCTCTCACCAAGGTATAGTATTACCATCTTCGATATCCGGGGTTACGCTCACGTTTGCTCTCTACACCCTGGATTATGTCATGGCAGAAATACAATCATTGCGTCATGCGGCGTCCCTTGAGGAATTCATGATTTGTTGTCATAATTTGAACACAATGATATAACAAACGACATGTTAGCCTCTTTGCCTGCTCTTTAGCCTTCTACTTCGTCTAACCTTCTTTTGAGACACCACAACCCAAATGTCTAAATGTTGTAATGCATTCGGTCACCCTTGACATGCTTGTTCCTAAATGATCATTGATATTTTTGTTTATGTTACTATATTTTTTCCTACACCAGCATCAAAGGACTTCCAGACCCAGTCTGCCGTACCTCTGCTCTACGAGACGCACGCGGGTGAGGATGTCGGTATTTACGCCAGAGGCCCAATGTCACACCTCTTCCATGGGGTACATGAGCAGCATTACATTCCCCACGCCATGGCGTTTGCTTCCTGCGTGGGTGATTACAAAGATGATGCTAACTGCGCAGCGTCTCTAGCTACATTTACTTCCGCCCAACACATCAGCGATCCTCAAACCAGTTTGAATAGCGCAAACACATTGAGTCGTCTTTGGACACAAATATGCACCATGCTTTTTGTGATTGTATTACAAATCAGTTGAGTAGCCTTTTATTGTTCAGACAGTGCTGTATCATAAAATATCTTTATTGTAATTATATGCGATGAATTACACAAATTTGACGAACTTGGTAACAAGCTAATGTGAAAAAACGTCCAAAATACTACAGCATCAATAGTTCGGCAAATCGATGAGCTCACTATTAAACATTGATTCACAGAAATTCTTTTTTAAGATGCTGTCTGATTAAAATATGGAAAAATGTCCAAGAAATGAGTTTATATTTTTTCGAAATACATTACCTGTTTTATGAAAATTAAAAGTGTCATTTCAGTTTATTGAAAAACTGTTTTTGCCTGCACAGGCAAAATGTCCTTATGTCAATTCAGATCAAATGTTCAGTTCAATTTCAAGTCAAAACCTGACATTGATTACTTTAAATCGATTTGAATTCGACAATAAGTCGTTTTTAACTCAAGACATTTTGCCTATGTAGCTTTGAATCTGTTGTGAATTTACCATTTAAATCAAACAAAGGTAACCTATATTCACTCGTTGGTAACTTTTAATTTGTAACACTCTTTCTGATTGGATATCTTGCCGGGGTCTATATATTTCTATAGACTCCGGCAGACTACCGGGATCTATAAAAGCTCGTGCGAGGGGAGATAACTCAAACTAGAATCTCTCTTCAAAGATGGCGTCCGACACACACAAGCGTTCGAGGTGTGCCAATTATTAGGATGAAATAGTCTACTTAATTGACAGCAAACTCAACGAAACCGGCAATGAGGGGGCGCTAGGGTGCTACTTACAAAGAAGGTTGTGTATTGTCCGAAATATTTCCGAAAAGGTGTCCGGTAGGGGCTATTTTGGTAGCAGTCAAATACAGCTCAAACTCACAAAGTGAATTACAATATTGCAGAAAAAAAAGTTATAAAATATTGTCAGGGTGACAAATTCGTTATCTCTGGGTTAGGAGGGGTTTATTGGTTCATAGACTATTTTGGGTTTTATAGACCATTCGCCTTCGGCTCGGGGTCTATAAAAACCAGACGGGGTTTATGAGCCCGTAGACCCCTCCTTACCAAGATATAACTAATAATGTACCTGCTTTTTCGATACTCTACCAAAGGTAAAGTAGACACGCCCTGTATCAAAGCATAGCTACCACATGGCGCTAGTTCGGCTGACATTACATCAATGAAGGTGAAGCGAGTTGAAGCGTATCCCTATTCCATAAGTTATGAATGTTACTTCAATATTGAATTCTTTAACAAAATGATATTATTCTCAATTTCTCTAGAAATAAAAATGACATGGTCGACAAACATGTTCATTGGAACACTAGGTTTTTAGATGGAGTTTGCTATGTGAAAAGACTTTTCTCACCCTTTGACGCTAATAAAATATTCAATCATATTCTGGTTTTATGTTTTCATTTGTTTGGTGACTTGTTAAGATTGTATTTAATTAACTTGTTTTATTTACATTGTAATATAAGTCGGTTTCTCATGTCAAACGGTTTAATGAATTTAAAGATACCACCGATTATAAATGATATGGTATTCACACTTGTCCCCTGTTCATATTAAACTTCTCGCTCATTCTTATACTTTTTAGTTACTACGTTTGCCCTGACAACTGTAAAAATGTAAGCTTTGCATTTTTCATGCCATGCTTATTTCTGAAAATACTTTTTTTGTTTCATTTGAAAGGGGGTGTTCAAAACAATAAAGGTAACCACGATATCTTCGCTCGAATGAATCTTGATTGAGGATGCTGAATTCTATTATGAATGGATGAATGGTATTATTTAAAAATTGTAATATATATTTTTATATTAAAGAAAATAAATACAAAGAAAGCCGATTTGCACATAAAGTCCAGGTGAAAGAGTTCATACAAAAGCAAACATGTCTATTTTATCTTGTTTCCGTCACTATCAAAAAAACATTATTGATTGTTTATTTATTCGTATTCAATCTTGCAATTATTGACGTCATGCATTGTTAACCGGTCTTGACTTTTCAGACAGAACTAAAACACGAATATACTATAATATTTAAAACGTTTATTCGAAATGACGTTTGCATATAGAAGGCAATCATTATTTTTTCTTATTATTCATTGGTCATTTGACCAAACAGAAAGTAGTTTTCTCACTCTCTTTATTTTATAGGAAAAAGACCATAGACCGAAGAAAATATTCACACAAAAGTAACATAGTATGTATCAAAACAGACGCACAGTGTTTACAGTAACAAGAAAGGCACAAAACTTGGGCAACAGAAGCATGATATGTGTCAACAACGACAGTATGTATTAACATAGGAACAAAAACACAACGCGTTTCAACAAAAACACATGATAATTCACAACGACACAATATCTAGCAACAAAGACACAGAGTGTGAAAGCAACAAAGACTTTGAATGAGGTTGGTCTGATTTGATAATTTACCTCGTTTTTGATCGGTCAAAGGTCGGAAAGTTTGAATGATTATTACTATTATGACATACAGTTGATGTTGCACCAAAAGAAAATATATCGGCTGTTCCAGGAATGTATTAAAAATAAAACAGTTTTAGAATAATAGAGCGGAAATAAGGATCTGTTTGGAATTAGTTTTATCGGCCAGCCTTGTTTACCTCAGACATCACATTTCTACAAGAACTCAAATTCATAGGCGAGAGAAAATGGTTTTAATACACAGTTTTTTGTCTGTTAAAAGTTGATATTTTATTCGTTGATGGCGATCAGTGGAATAGAATTACACTCTCATAAGAGTGTGACTTCGTTCAGCATTTGAAAAATAATAGAATGTACCACTCCCGCTTGATATGACAAATAACTCAACAAGAAGGTGAGATTTTTTGTTATTTTTAATTAAGCACGGAGCTTTGTAATGTGATGATGCGAAAGATGAGGTTATTCAGACTTATAACACCTGTGAGCTGTTTTCCCCTATAGGTAGGCAAATACGTAAAGGATATTTAATTATTCCCCGTCGAATACCCTACCTATACTGCATAGCGGTTATATTTCGCGGGGTTTTTAATTTCGCTATATTCGCGTTTTGACGAATATCCGCGAGTTCTAAACACAAGTCAAATTATCGAAAATGTTTACCACTTTTACAGACCTTATAACAACATATTGCAAAAACTTATAACCCAACGCTGTTATGCAAACTTAAATGAACTCAAATCCTATTATCACCGGACAAATGGTCAGTCCATGTAAAAACAACACTTACATATAAGTGGCCACAACATATTTATGTATACACGGTAGGTGATTAATTGATCACAGTTTACTCCTACAAAGGTACATACACATTTTACTTTCTTTCGAGTGAAGTCACTGGCGGATGACGACGCTCAGGATCAGTGTTTTCAAACGATTTACCTGTATTTCGGGGTTTAACCCTTTACTGATGACACTCAATATACTTTCCACGACACATGGAATTCGGGTGCACAGCGAAATTTAACCCCCGCGAATATTTACTGAATACGAAACCGCGAAATATTTACCCCGCGAATTTAAAGCGCTATACAGTATTCAACGAGTATGGCAGAACAATGATATTTTGCACGAGTGTCAGGCAAAGCCCTAGCTATTATTTGGTAAGATTTTATATATCATAAATGGTATAAATTGTGTATGTAAATTGATACCGTAGTGTATGTAGCAAAGATGTTTCAAAATAACTTCTTATTCTAATGTCGATTCATCAACATCTGAACATAAAAATAGCCGACTTTTAATGAAATAGAAAGTGTCATTCTGTTTAGCCAATAGCAAAAGTAACATCTTAACACTTTGACAAATATCCCCTTTGCTATGTGTTGTATCAACGTGATACAATTCGATAGAAAAAATGTATGCATAACAAAAACTAAAGAACAATTTAAATGTCATTATTATGCTCGTGGTTTTTGAGATGGTGTGACGTTTGAAATTTTAAATAATCTACGGACGAATAAGACAGTAAATATTGATGAACATGTAACCACACACATCTGAGCTATGGACCATTTGACAATGTAGCTATTATTGCTCATGATAAGGTACCAGTCCTTCACGACATTCATACGACTGCTTGCTTGGTGTAGTGTGGCCTGCTCAAGGGATTTCTGAACCACTGATATAGAATACTGCAAAAGAAAAGAATTGTATTAACAAAAGTTTTCAAATATCATAGAAATATTATGAAACGTTACGTATTTGAATATTTAGACTTGTTTGTTTGTTTGTTTGTGTTTTACATCCTTTTAACAGCTATGGTCATTTAAGGAGGTGCCAGGTTTTGGTGGTGGAGAAAAGCCGGAGTTCCCGGAGAAAAACCACCACCCTACGGCCAGTACCTGGCGACTGCCCGACGAAGGCCTCGAACCCGCGACCCAGCGGTGGAGGGCTAGTGGAAGCAGAATGTCAGACGTCTTAACCATTCAAGATTCAAGATTCAAGAAGCTTTATTTAACGTCGCATATACATGTAACATAATAACATTAGCACTGTAGTGCTATTCTTGCGACAAAACATGTGTAAAATTTAACAAGGATCACAGTACTTATGGATAACTATAAAATCAGGACAACAATTCAAATTAGATATGCTAAAATTATACATTAGAGCATATGATATCACACTTGAATGTCACACAAGTGTTATGAAAGACAAGTTAAGACACTATACTAGTGTAATGTACATATATGCTAATGTAGCAAAGTGTAAAAATTTCCAGGATATACACTAATATAGTGTGAATTAAAAAGAGACAATGAAGTCATAAATAGAAACAAGAGCTATAATTATGATATTGTAAAAAAGTAATGATCTTTTAAATAATGGAGCTCAAATCTAAAATAAATATCAATTATATAATAAGTATATTACTGAAGTACATTAAATTAAATAACACAAGCAGCAGTGAAATTAAATTAAATAGTTGTTATATAAAACATGTAGGTAGATTCCAAAGGGGGACAACTCACACTATATGGTCACCATTTGGCCACCGCGGCCTTACTTGAAATATTTAAAGAAGTAACACAGAATTGTATAGTCGTATTGTTTAAATGAAAAAAGAAGACAAACCGTGAAGTTGGTCACCGCCATGTTCATATCCTCGATTTCCTGGACGTATTTTGTCCACTCCTCGGGTACAAAGGTTATCAGGTAGACGTAAACGAGCTTGGAGGCCATCCTGCTAAACGTATTGTCCAAGCATATTGTGTAAACTCCTGAAAATTCATCGTAACACATGTTTTTTAATAACAGGATGGTCAAACAACATAAACTTTAGTTCGGAACTCCTCTTATATTTACCTTTACATACAGAAATGTGTGTCCGGACAAGGCAGTAAGAAACGTTAAATTACGCATAACGTGACGGTACCAAAAATGAAATACTTTTCATATTAACGATGCGGCATACTCAGATTTAAATAACAGTTCCTGTTTGGGTTTGTTTGTGGTGACGTCCTATTAACAGCTATGGTCATATAAAGGACGTGCCAGGTTTTGGTGATGAGGAACGCCGGAGTTTTCGGTGAAAAATCACCGACCTGCGGTCAGTTTTGGGGTCCAATCTCTTGTGTGTTGCTTATTAACTCAATTGAATTGTTAAAAAAAAAATGAAAAAATATCCCGGGAAATTGTACGAAGCGACAAAATCAATGACCTTTCTAATTTCTAAACAAAGATAGATTTAATTCAATATTTTAATGAATAAATAAATAAGATCTATCAGAAATGTAAAAAAAAAATATGAAATAAGGCAGCATTTTTTTAATGCTATCAATCATTTTTAAAAACTAAATTATATGATGAGGTGTTAAATTTTGGGTACTTAAAAGGCTAAAATTTCCAATTGAACCTGAATGAAATGAGGTCAATAAATAGACACATGCACTGGCAATACCCGGGACAAACATAAAATGAAAGCTAAATGTATCTTTTGTTTCAAGTATAACACTTGTGTTCAAGAAACTAAAAAAGGAAATATCATTATCTAGCATCAGAAAGTGTTCAATTTTGGGTACCCTCATGTTACAGACACTTCTCCGAACGTACAATCATATAATGACGTGTATTTCGTATAAAGCGAATATATATATATATATATATATATATATATATATATATAAATAAGATTATTTTCATCTGCTTTAAACGACAGCAAATGCATATACTGTAGATATTACAATATACAGGCAAGTGGGATGATGTGCAAAGAGGTAAACAGACTGATGTATGCATATAGTTTCATATATTTCATAGTATATATCAGATAAATTATTCGAAATATTCTATATGAGAAAAACAAAATGCCTATAGTATCTATTAATCATTCAATTTTGATAAATTCAAACTAAATAATCATTTAAAGCAAACCTGAAATAGAATGAATGTTTAATTTACCAATTCCATAACTACTAGCATAATTGACAGATAAAACGAATGGACGCATCTCACCAACATCTAGCAAGCCGCAACAAAGCACAAACACCAAAAATCAATCGGATCATAACAGGTCCATATTTGTTTTTGCGGGGAAGCAACTTGTAAATAAAATATATAGTGAAGATGACAAGAAACTTAATTGTCTGTATCACTCGTAATTCATAGTTATAAGACTAGTCATAATAAACATAAAACCATAAAACAAACATAGCCACATCATCAACTCATAGGGATAAAAATAACAGTAACGTCGACATACAACGGAGGCAACACAAACTAGGGCAAAACCGGAACACATGAAAAGGGGGGGGGGGGGGTCAAAGGGTTGGACGAACTATTTTCAGGAGCTAGTAACGAACCAGACGATTCAAAGTAATCAATAACCAGTTGTATATAGATATCTTTAACCAGGTTAATTTTGCCACACAAAAAAGGCCTAAATGCAAAAATCGAAAACTTGCATATCTGCCATGTTCTGAACGTTTTGATGATAATAGATTTGACTACTGCAGATGGCTTTGATTCGGCATGATTTTTATTTGGTATGAATTGGCGTTAAGCATCTATCTATAGAACGCCCGACGTACATAATTTGCGAACTAATTTCATCGCAAATAGGTTTGAAAGATCAAATTAGAAATTTGTATGAAATGCAAGTACAGTGTAATTTCCGTTAATACGTATCACAATGTAGATAATTTCAATAAATATGTATCATAATGTTAGTAATTTATATTAATACGTATTTAATAATGTAGTTAATTTCAATTAATACGATCATAGTGTAGATAATCACCATAAAATCGTATCACAATGTAGGAATGTCAATTTATATGTATTATTATGTCAGAAAGTATGATAGTGATGCAATGTCCTTACGATATTTATGATGTAGTTACTCCTGTAATGTGTTGTATGATATAATAATCTCAAGAGATATGAAAGATAATTACGTAATCCTCATAAATATGCATGATTATGTAGCAATCTACATTATTAATAGAAAGCAAATTATCATTAATATACAAGTTTATGTCGTAATCTACAGCATTAATAGCAATCTCCATTATTAATAATAATCTACATTTATAATAGTAATCTACATTGATAAAAGTAATCTACACTACTTATTGTGATCTACATTAATAATAGTAGCCTACATTAATTGTAATGATCTAGATCTACATTTATAATAGTCAACTCCATTAATAATAGTTATTTACATGTATGCGTATGATAACGAAAGTATCTTCATTTCAAATAATGAGGATGTAATGTCTAATAATATAAATGATAGTGTAAGGCGACCTGGCATCATACAGTACGTGCTACTCTATGTGCCCAGTTAATCTTTATAAAAAAATACATTTATTAAGCCTTATAATATCAATTTGTTTGTTCATTGAGAAATACTGGCCATTTTCTGCTTGCAAATATTGTGTATAAATGTAAGGTTTTTAGACATCCCCTTTAACAAAGTATGTTTTATACCCATATAGGGTTAGAATAATTTAAATGCCTGTATTCACCTTATTTTATTTTATCATTTTATTTTATATACGAAAACACAGAATATTCGTTAGATATTGTGAAAAATGACGTAGACAATTTTTTATTTTTTAAACAATATTGCTTTTATGTTTTCACTCTTCAACATGATGTTACAATGATAAACATAGTTAAGCCGAGATATCGTAAGTATTTGTATCCGAAAGATTAAAATGGGTAAAATGGACTGGATAAGAGAACCAAAAATAAGCAAACGAGGTATTGTTAAAATTGACCAAATTGTCATTAAAGCCGAACCATCAAATCAGTCAACAATAGAACAAAAGACGGGTTAAAAATAATGATCAAATTGGACCACAAACTTAAAAAAAACATGGCACCGTTACAAATTACCTCCAACTTCAATACCCTTCTCAATCCTGCCTCTATTTTCACCATAAACGCTACTTGAATCATCAATATTTTCATCCGTATCCCTTAGATAAACATTCACGTCCTCAGTGTGACTATTAAGCACCTAAAACAAGATGACAAACAATGAATCAGATGGACACATAATCGTATTCTTTGATACAGGGTGGACAATTGTTTTCATTCCAATTAATACATTACCGGCGTGTATATCCTTGTGCAGCCGCTAAACTGCGTCAGCCAAATAGTCAACACTATGTTGCATATATCTTACCATTATATTGTCTGAGAAAGACATCTTATGCTATTTATTTTAGCAACACTCAATTGCAAGTTTGGTTAAACTATCTTGACCCAAATATTTTTAAACCTCAGACTTTAGATATCAGAAGATGAGATGTACTTTATTTTATGTAATTTACAAATTTGCTTTCATTTTGTAAGTGATCATCTTGTAAGTGAATATTTGAAATTACTACTCAGTTTCGATTTTGTTTACAATTTGGTATTCTTAATTTTAGTTGTGTAATTTTTGCAATGTTTTCACAAAGCAAAACCAAACGAATTAAAAAACAAGCAGTTAATCGAAAGCAAAATCAGAATGTACGACATATTTTCCTGTCGTTTGATTTGATGAGTTTTCTTCCAATGAAAATTCTACTCTTTGAAACCATTTCGAAATCTTCCCTTGCGATACGATAACATCTTGTTTCCTCGATTGTCGAGACGTTACATAATGTGAATGTGTTAATGTGTTAAATATAACAAACAACGTTTTCAACACCTTGAACTGATGGTACAAACAAACTGACAATCGCCCACAGATAAACACACTTAAAACGTAACAGACCAACTCAGCGTTTCAATCAATGATTGACTTCTTGTCATTAATATTTACGCGTTTTTCGTTAGCGAGAAAAAAGCAAAAGACTCTATATGGTCAAAATATCATTTGTTTTCAAATAGTATTTTGACAAACGCTAAATATAAACCAGTTGATTATTGCCAATAAGGCATATCAATCCACATTCATCTTTTTTACTTTGCAAAGCTTTCCTTCAAATGGATTTTTTAAAGGACATTTATAACATTTTGTTCGTATTTTTTTGTGAGGACTGCTTTATTTAACGTACCACCCACACACAATCAGAAATGCAATTTAACTAGAATACCCAAGCATGACACTGTATACAAAACAAAATGTAAAGTCATTTTCTAAACAACGAATTTCATATTTGCATAGATTTTTTTTATAATTTCACAGTGTGTTAAAACCATATTAAATTGTGGCCCTTTAAAAAATATTTTGAACTACGGGGAAATAGTGACATAAACTTAAACCAGATATAATCCTCTGCCCTCCACCTGCTGCAGATGCATAAATGTCATATAGAAATGTTACAGATAATGTATATGATAGGTCCTACTCCTACACGATGTCGTTTGCGTATCCATCTGTATGTCACATGGTATGACCATGCCCTACGTCGGATAACCAACACTAAATATACAGATAAATTGTTTACAAAAGTAAAGTTTCTCGACCCAAAGAATAAAATTCAATGTGAACAATTTATACTGGATAAGACTCCCACAAAAGGCATATCAGACCAAGAAGAATTTGAATATTAATTGCTTTCAGAACTATTCAATAACCACATTAATAAAAATCAGGTTTACATTAATAATGTTGAAGTACTCTTAATTTACTCTAAATCAGAAAACACTACCCATAACCCTACCCATCTAACCCCTTACTCCGAACCCCCATCTAACCAGCCCCTTTGTAAGCAATATTTTCTACATTTGGTTTACAGTTTTACAGTGAACCTTTATTCATAAAAACTAAACGTTGCATCAATCCTGGCCTTGAGATTGCTTTGTCAATTAGTTAACACTATGTTATTACACCATGTGAGTTCGCGTCACGTTACAATGCTGGTACGATAGAAACAAAAGCATCCAATTTGTGGAGATCAATAAGAAAATATACAACCTCATCTATATCATAACTAATTAGCAGAAAGTTTGTAGGTTACCACTGAGAAAGGTAAAACTCAAGATCGATTATCTACTGTCACCAGTATGTATAAATATAATCTCGTTACCAGCCATTGGTACTTTATGTTGAATAGTGACTTCCGACTTAGAATAATGTGATTCGACGACATAATTAGTTGGGTCCCGTACTATGATATCGATCAGTCTCTCGGAGCCTCCTCTTAGGACCTGAAATTCAACACCGCACAGAAATCAGAAGATATGATACAAGAAGCTAGATTGGTGATGAATAAGCCTTATATCACAATCAAAATTTCTTACGTAAAAAAGGAAACTTTGATAAGAAATATGTCATCAAAATCTTAAAGGAAAATTTCATCGATATATTTAGTATATCAAAAACATTAAGTGTTATATTGACGGAGTTTTTGGTTATGACTTTTTCGCTACTGCAATGTTTAATTATTTTAACATGATCTGTAGTTAAGTTAACCAAGCTACAGGTAACCTATTATCCGATAAACGTCTGGCCAGATGTTGCATCGAATATGCCTTATATACGCTGTAGGCGTGGCCTGCAGTTCACAGATCAAAAACAATTTCTCCTGGTCTCCTCTGTGTTTTAATTGAATGCAACTCCACATGTAAACAAATACATCGATTTGTCTTGAAAGGTTCTCGTTTTTCAGGTATCAACAATGTCGCGGTTTTGCAGTTTAGCCAAAATACTAATTAGTACAAAGAGACATCAAAATACATATCTGAGCAATTCTTATTCTTTAAATATCTTCGTTTTTAAATCTGCAAATCATCATTGAGCAGAACCTTAAACAGAGTTTAAATGAAGAAGCCGAATATCACTGTAGTCATCAACTTCATAACTTCGCAATGCCAGGACAAAGTTTGTATCAGATCCTATAGAGTACATTTATGTACATTTATATTATCACTTTGAATGTTATGTCATCATTTAAACGCAATCTCAAGTTCTATGCAAAGTCTAAGGAGTGCTGAATCACCATTAATCGAACTATAATTAGATTCAAGCCAATTGGGATCTGACATCTGAGATTTTGTTTAAAACCATACAGGAGATACACTACCTGCACTTCAGACAAACCTTTCAATCCTACAGAAGGAGAATGACAGATTGTACATATTTGCCAAGCAAACAGGACTCAAGGCTAAAACACAAATGAATCCCATCGTTACCATGTAATCCTTAATCACATCTATTACCTGTTACTAAGCGATATCTTGTTATCTCAGTCGAGGGCTAAGATCTTAAAACATCATCCAAACCAAGGCGTAAGTCGGGGTTGGGTTGTTATAGGGGCCTCAACTTACTATAGCCTCTACATCATTTAAGCTACATTGAAATGCTTCCGTTTTAAAATATGTAGTCTGTCCTTACAGAAGAAGACAACCATATTTTACAGTGTAGATTATATGTTGTCTACAACATCAGATATCTAACTACATTATGTACACCAAATCAATTCATAATACGACAAAACGGATTATGTATAATGCAAATTGCCAATACCAAGCCGTATACGTGCGGATGAATACATTCCTGTGTTAAAATTTCGCGAAATGTCACGTAAAGGTACAAGACAGATTGGAAGAGATAGAAAATCTAGCATTGGGTATGATATGGGATATCTCTGTCTAGAGTGCGAGAAAAGTCAGTATTACGACTTTGTAAAATACATCATATATTTATAATATCTCAACAGTAAACAAAACGGGGCAGGGAAGGATATTAAGACAAAATTTCACATGCAAATTGCTAGCGAGCTGCCAGGATAATAGGAAAAGGAAAAAAGAGACCTATTAAGACTTATTTTTTCTTATTTTATTAAGCTAACAAAAGGCTTTTAAATATGTTTCAATTTCATATATAAAGAAACACGTAAACATCGTCTATTTATTATAAATTTTGCACTATCAATGTGCAATAATATATTCAAAATTAATTTAAAAAATCCAAAATATTACCCTTGTTTAAATGCCAATATTTATGTAGTAAAAATTCTGGCGCTGTACACAAATCTGACTGCTAATCGGGGAGAGACATGTAAAGAAAGCGATCAAAAGGAAGAATGGAATTGAAACAAGTTGGGGCTTTAAGCAAGTTCGTAGTACGTGTATACCGAGGTTTCTACAAAAACTAGAAAAAGGTTAATAGGATTGTATTTCTGGTTTTCCTAGCCTAAATGTACCGGTAAACATGTATGTCTCAATGCCTCTAAATACTAAATGTAAGAATATTGAAGTCTCTACTCTAGAAAAAGCTGCAGTGCATCAATTATTTTACTAATCTATAGTAAAATATATAGTGTATACAGAGATAAATGATCAATATACAGTTACCTGTATTAACTACGTATATACAATAGTACATGTATGAATTAATGTGATATTTCAATATATATACGTTGTATGATCTAGCTGCTTATACAGTATACATGTATATGAGCATATTTATATCAAGTTGCTAATTTAGTATATATGATCAAATCTCCTTTCAGCCTATTTAACTTTAATATTCTAATGTATAATTTTTTTCAGCACGTCAGAATGGAACCTAGTTTCAAATACTGTTTTGTGATCATGACATTGTATCGTTAAACGCCATCACTATGCACGATCAAGTGTGTTATCAGTGACGTAAGAAGGAATCATTTATAGTTGCATTAGCTTAATGGCAAATTGTAATAATCTATTAAATCAGTGGCCTTTTAAAAAAAAAAATGAAAATCAGAACATTGCAGAACGCCTGTTTGGGAATTCAAAACGACCATCTTCAAATTTGATACAGATATGAAAATATCAGCCCTCTGTTGCTATCTCCAGAGAGGAAGAGTTACAAATTGTTCGACCTTTTTCTGATTTTTTTCAAAAATATATCTGTTTTAATTTCCCTTTCAAAACTGAAAATAAAAGTCTCCACCCGAAGGACGCGAGTCCTGAGCCTTTTGGTAATGAATCATGAAACTTGCCTTCTGCGTTACCGGTCATGAAGTTTGCTCAATTAATAAACTTCCACATTGAAACAGGGTGATAATTACTCAAAAAAAAAATGGTTGGACTCGTCATCTT